TAATGTTAATATTAATAAAAATGTTGAAATTCATATTTATCTGCATTTGAATATGAGATTACTTCTGCAAGTAGATGTCAAATTTCTATATCGCTTATATACAATTTTATTTATTTCATTGTTTTCCTCGTAAATTTTTCAATTTTCAATCTTGTTGTATCAATAATATTTATTCAACGTGTTACTGTTTACTGGCAATTTATAAAAATTAACTATATTTATATTAATTAACTATATTTTAACTTTTATTTGTGGCGGTATTAGCTCACAGAATAGCATTCCCAATTCACACGCTGGAGGTTCTGAGTTCGAATCTCCGGCAAGAAATTGTAAAATATTAAGTAGTTAATTGAAATTATAACAGAATTTGTAATAAAAAATATGTATGTAAAATAATCAGAATGTATAAAAATTAGAGAATTAGAATTAAAATAAATTGAAGTAAGAAGAGTTCAGAAGGTGAAATGAGAAGTATAGTAGAAGAAGTAAGAAGTGTTTAGAAGAAGAAATGAGAAGATAGAAAAGAAGAAGAAAGAATAATGAAGATAAGTTAAGGGGGCGTCCATTGATCACGTGAGCGAGTTTTTAAAGACTTTTGGAACCCCCCCTCCCCTTGGTGATCCATGATGATATTCAAAATTACCCACCCCCCACCAAACATCACGTGTATTTTCAGTTACGTGATAAAACTGTAACTTTTTTTAATTGTTTTTGAAATTGTTTAATTTTTTTTCCAAAGGTCAGTTAAAAAATAAATACACGTAATATCTTACTATACCCCTCCCTCCCCCACGTGATATTTCGCAATTTTTTGTCAGACCCCCTCCCCCTAAAAACCTCACGTGATTAATGAACGCCCCCTAAAGATGTATAGAAAAAAATATGATTATACTGATTTTGAGATAGAGTCCAATGGGAGAAATTAAAAGCATGTTTGTTCGAACAAGTTTCCGTTATTGCATTGAGTCAGTGACATACATTAACATGATCTCTAACATGTTTTTGTTCGAATTCTTACAATAACTATTATTGGAAATATATATAGATCACTTTTTTTCTGTTATTTTGCTCAAAAAATATGTTTTGTTATGTGGCGAGCATAGTGTTCGAGTCACACGACAGGGATCTTCGGATCGAATCTTGTGATTGACTTAGAATTCACGAAAAAAATATAGTTAATTTGAAATTAAATAGAATTGGATTTGTTAAGTAGAATTTGAATAAAAATTAGGAGTAAGATAAGAAATTACCGAATTAGAATAGCTGAGATGTATTAGAAGTCAAATTCAAGAAAATAATCGAAAGAAATTGAAGAAAAATTAAGAAGTATTATATTATATAGGATATATATTTATATATAGACTTGTATATGATATAAAAAAGATAGTATAGAATGTAAATAAATAAATGGTTGTAGTTGGCAAAATAATCAGAGTAAGCAAAGTCAAATATTTTTTTTAAAAAAATGTATTGTTATGTAATATTCAAAAGATTTTTTTTAATAATTGAGGTGTTAATTCAACCAGGTGGTGATTTGTCCACAAAATATACACTTTTTACAAATTTGTAGCTTAAGAGTCTAAAGAAGTTTTACTTCAAAAATTTTACATAACTTTCGTTTAAAAGGTCTCTGTGAGTAAATTTTCACAACAAAATGATTATATTGTAATAAAAACGTTATATACACATTACAAAAAATATTAGAATGTCAAAATTTATTGCTGTTTTCTTAATTCTGGAGGTGTAAAAGTTTTTTATGTAATTTGTGACCACAAAATGTACACTTTTTACAAATATGTATCAGAGGAGTCTAAAGAACTTTTACTTCAAAAATTTTACATAGTATGTTGTATGGCATATGGGGTATCGTTCAAAAGGTCTCGATGAGTAGAAAACGATTTTCACAACAAAATGATTATATTGTAATAAAAACGTTATATACACATTGCAATATTATTACAATGTCAAAATTTATTCTAAAAAAGTTTTACTTCAAAAATTTTAGATAGTACCTTTTATGTCCAAATTATGTTGTGTTGTGTTAATAAAAATCGTAATAAACCAATTTAGTATTTATAACTAGTTTTTAGTTTTAGTCCTGTGGGTGTGGACGGTTGTGACACTCGCCCTTTTTTGTCTAATCTTTATTTATTATCTAATTTTTTATTTTTTTATTTAATTTTTTGACAAATCGCATTTAAGGGCAATATTTCCATGTGGTCAATTTACTTTTCTCTCAGCTAACTGGTAAATGAATAAAATTATTGCTGGTAGAAAAAAAGAAGCACAACCCTACCTAGTGCACCCTATATCTTAAGAAAGTTAATCAGGTGATTTTACAAGAAATTTGTATAAGATAGCAAAAAGTACTTAAATATTCAATCGTTTTATTCAAAATATGTCGAGAATAAAAATTAGTGATGATCCGAAGTAATAAAACAGAAGTAAAAAACAAATATGTTTCTACAAGTTTCCTATAATAATTTCAAGAAATTAATATATGTGTGCCCAAAAATTTTCTGCAGCCACCTCGATGAATGTATTTTCTCTACGTAATTAGTGCATTTATGCACATATTATTTAAATGGAAGACGTTAACTGGCCTTTTCAGCACTATAAATATATATTTATTATATATAGTTTATTCTACATGCCCTATAAAATTAATTTAAAATGTTTTCCTTCGTGAGATCTATATCGGAAATAAATTTCTAAAATATTATGTCGACCTTAAAAGAAGGTAATAAAACAATTGTTAACTCTAGACATACTATCGATTTTTCACCAGGAAAATAATTCAGAAAAACCACGTATGCTTTGAGTTACAAATCATTTTATCATCTCATGTAAAAGCCGAAGTTATTTCTATCACAAATCTAGATCAAAACAAAATTTAATAATTTGCCTAAATGAAATAAAAAATTGTTAAAAAATACTTCATTGATTATGTTGTGATCTGAATGAGTGATTTGTGCTTGTACTTAAACAATTTACAATTGTATTTCCATACAAGAACTGTAATGCCTCTAATGGTGAGAGTAATAATGTAAAATCATTAAAACGCATTCATAAAATTTGAATGTTCATGCCAAGGTTAACGAAATATTTGAAGTTGACAAGAAACATTGCAGGTATAAAAATACTGGCATACGAAAAATTATAAAAAGCGGTTTTATATAAATGTATCAATTAGTCTTCAGGCTAACGATAAAATTATCTGTCGACCGATAAATCGGCCTGATTTGATTTTACGACAGGTGGGATGATTAGCGACAATTTTATCACAAGCATGGATTTAAATCTGAATTGATCGTTCAAATAAAACACCTGCATTTAAATTTTATAAATGCGTCTTAGTTTTAGCATCCAAAAAGTAGATTGAAACAACACTAACTATCAGATAGGCTACTAAGTAAGGAGAAACTGAGGTTTAATCTCCTGGATTTTGATGAAACTTCGTTTGATGATCATGGGACAACTAGTGTGAAATTTTCAAAAAATCGAATTTTCAAATTTTCCATATTTCGATAGATTATACCTTTAAAGATAACATACCAAAATTTTAAATCGATATCTTAAATAGTTTTTGAGTCACAGCTATTTGAAGAGAATATATATAGTATATACTATATAGTATAACGATCATTTTATCTTTAAACGCGTTTTTCTCGAAACTGCATTTTCCGAATTTGCTGCAGCGATTACTCAAAAACAAATGATCCGATCACTATCAAATTTTTTTACATGTTCAATATATAGTTCTCCGTAAAATGAACTATCGATTTTTTGATCGGATCAAAAATCGAATTTTGGCAGTCCAAAAACGACCAAAATTTTGGGTAAAATTCAACTTTTTTTAAAAAAAAACGCCGTCATTTTGTCATTTTTTTATTTTTTTCTTTACCGTAGTTCATTTTACAGACAATATGATCTAGTTTAACGAGATTTTTTTTTTTAAATTTCATCCACGTAGAAGGCCGGAATCACTGCAGCAGTGAAAGGCCTTTTTTTGTGACGTCGTTGGAGATCGACGATAGCTTAAAAAATATTTAATTATTTTCTTCAAAAATTTTACTATGTATTCTTAAAACGTGTATAAATATATTCCTAAAATTTTGAAATGATTGATAAAGTAGTTTTCTTAATATAAATTCCCAAAAACCACCTTTTTTTAAGGCGGTTACACTAGTTGTGCCCCTTAACTCTCTTATCTATGAATCCGAGAGCAACAAGTACAAGCAAGCGGTTGAACCGATTGAGCTACCGAGACATATAAATTCATTTATTCTATTTTACAAAACTTTGATTATTTTTTATAATTAATCCACTTCTCATATAACAATAATTTTTAAATCTGTTCTGTTTGACTATCAACCTTATCACCATGCAAAGTTTCATCAAAATCCCAGAAGAGTAACCTGAGGTTCTCCTTATTAGATGGCTTCAATTGAATTTTCAGGTTTGCAGTTAAATAATCTGTTGTCTTCTTTTGCTCTGAAATGAACTATTATATTAAAGTCATTTACTGTTCTTGAAAACGTTAACAAAAACTTATTATATTTGAAATAAAAAAAATCAACCGCCCTGTTTTGATACTAATTAAACTTTTCCATTTTTGGAATTTCCCCGTTAGTTAGTATTTTTTCAATCTAATTCAATATTTGTTACTTTGCTCTAATAAAATTTCAATGTCTTCGCATATGAAGAGACAAATGGTCGGATCTACTAAACCTCCTCTGGCACAGCCTGCAGGCAAATGGTTTCAGGCCAGTATGCTTGCGATGATGTCTCGTCAATTCATCTGACCTGGCAAACCTCCACCCGCATCCCGCCCAGGTACATACATAAGGTTTTTCACCTGGAAGAAAATAATCAAGGTAATATTAAAATTATATATATTTTAGAACAATAACAGAGTGATTTATGGGATGTGAGAAAAATGCTTTGCAATTGGAACTGATAATGACTCCTTGATCTTCATCAATTCATACCTAAAAGGTTGTCATGGAATGAAATTTATTTTATTCGGAAGTCTAACCAAATTGAATGAAAGGCATCACATGCAAGAATTTGATTAGAAGATGATTTTACTTTATAGTAATCTATTTTGGTTGATTTCATCCCTATATCGAGTTCGAATATGTGCTGGTGTTAGCTAGTGTCCATACTCTCTGAGTAGGAAAAGCACGGACAACATAACATGGTGTTTTGTTTAAGTAAAACTTCTTTAGGCACGACTAGGGTGTAAATCCGTACAAATGCAACGGAAATAGCGTTACGCCCGAACTGAACGTCATTCGCTCTCGATGAAATCATTTCAATACGAGTCGATTGTGATTAGTCGTCGTGTATGTGAATAGAAATCTATCGTTGTATGCGTACTGACATCAACAAGGAAATCGGCATAGATAAATAAACATTTTAAAGTTACATCGTAGTACAAATCTTGATTTAATGAAAAACGCCTGAATCAGAAGAATATTTTACCCTGTTCCTTGAAAATAATAAAACAAATTAAATCAAATTGTGCCATATACTGAACGTAAGTTTATTGATTAGAAATTATTTCTATATTATTCGTAGTTTCTATAAATCTTTGAAGTTATTCAAATGAAAAATATTTTTTAAGCAAGACAGATATTACAGTAAAAGTAAAGTAAAAGTAAACATAATACAAGCAGTCAATGAAGGTATATTCATTTTAATTGCATGAAGTTCTTCAAACACAATTACATGATGAGTGAAGTTGCGAAAACAATATTTGTTTAGGCGTTGCTTAACATAATCCACTGTGTAAACAAATATTATAGAATTTATTAATCAGCAATTACTTCATTCCTCTAATGAAGGTTCATTTCTAAATGCTAATAACAATGACAAACCGATCATGTCATATTTGAAGTATGGCTTTAATTACATTATTGTTTCTAAATATTATACATATTTTTAATGTCATTAAAAATATATAATTTATAATTTATCATTATAAAAATGTGTATAATGGTTGACACTAATAAATGCGTGCATCACGAGTACCATATTACTAATAAACATTATTCAAAATTGTTATATGATGTATTTATTTTTACTTAGGGTAAGAACGTAGATGCTAATTTTTAAAAAGGCAGTTCACAAATAAATCGTGTGTTCTTTTGGACATCATTACATGAATGTGTCGGAAAAGAAGTTTTTGCAATAAAGTTTTTTCTTTTCAACGGTGGATCCTTTGGTATGTTTTTAGAAGTAGTAGGGGTTGAAAGCCAATCACCTTTAACATGTTAAATTTTCTTTTTTCTTGGTCTCGAATATACTACACTGTGAGTGCTTGTGAAATAGTACTATGACGTTTTGTCCATTAATCAATGTTTTATCAAACACCTGATAATTGCAATGAAATGGATCGAAATGACGAGTACTAGCAAAAATTCATAAATTTCAATAGAAATAACTGCAAATAATAATAAATAAGTCCCAAAAAATATAATGAAGCCACATTCAGAATAAACTTTTGAAGACACTGATAGAACTGATTACTGCGACGACACAGTGACAATGACGCTCAACATCTGGCAGGATTGTAATTTGAGCTTTCTTTACGTTATACAGTCGCAAAAACGTTGCTAAAACTCCAATTTTTTAATAAGGACTGTTTCATTTTGTCCATATATGTCATTTTGTCCGTATATCCCCTACTACAGAAATCTTTGAGAATTGCACATTCGTCGTGAAATAGCCTTCAAATGAGATTATGCGGGATGTAATGCGGGATACCATAAGAAAAATACAAATATCATAGGACAATTCAAGACACCAATACAACGATAGTAAGTTTATCTCATAAAGTTAAATAAAAATGAATATACAGTTTATGTCAACTCATATACAGAGGAATACTGTTTATTTCATATATTTTTTCAAAAATATTGCCTTCTGAATTAAACATAGTAAATGGTATTTTATTACTGTACATGTACAGTGCTGTTCTCATTAATACTTTATCAAACTCCTGCCTATAAATCGGATTCTCATTTGCCAACGCTCATCGGATGCTGGCTTATTAATCGTTTTTTACGATTACCAACGCTCACCTATCACTAAATCGTTAACTAAACCGGAACTTTAGTGAATGGCTACACCAACCGCAAGTGGCCGATAAAGTGTCAATATTGATGGGCGACGAGATGGAAATAATTATTTAAAATTCTAGTCATTATAAACTTGCGGGCTTACCCGTTGGTAAGTGGTTAGAGCTATGGGATTTGAATCAGAAGCACAAGGTTTCAAAGCTGCCTCGAGCAACCTGATGTCATACAGTAGTGACATCAGTTTTCACTTAGGAATAAAAAAATCAATGTGTTTTCAAGTAAAAATGTCTTTACGCACATCAATAAAAAAAGAGTGCGTGTAAGGTACACACGCGATTGAAGTAAAACTTATTTGCTACTGTACAAGATGGCATTTAAGTAAAAATAAATACATCATATAACAATTTTGAATAATGTTAATTAATAATATGGTAACACTCGTGATGCACGCATTTATTAGTGTCAACCATTATAAACATTTAAATAATAATAAATTATAAATTATATATTTATAATAGCATTAAAAATATGTATAATATTTAAAAACAATAATGTTATTAAAGTCATACTTCAAATATGACATGATCGGTTTGTCATTGCAATTAGAATTTAAAAATGAACATTCATTAGAGAAATGAAGTAATTGCTGATTAAAACTTCTATAATATTCGTTCATACAGTGGATTATGTTAAACTTCACTCATCATGTAACTGTGTTTGAAGAACTTCATGTAATTAAAATTAACATACATTCATTGACTGTTTGTATCTGTTTTACTTTTTCGCTAGCGATATAATCTCATTCTTAGAACAGCTGTAAAATCTGTTTTGCCTAAAAATATTTTCCATTTCAATAACTTTAAAAATTTATAGAAACTACGAATAATAATAATAAAGAAATTATTTCTAATCAATAAACTTACTAATCCATGTTTTCAAGGAACAGGGTAAAATATTCTTCTGATTCAGGTATTTTTCATTATATCAAGATTTATACTACGATGTAACTTTAAAATGTTTATTTATTTATACCGATTTCCTTGTAGATATCGGTACGCATACAACGTTGATGCCGGTGCGCATACAACTACAGATCTCTATTCACATATCACAAATAGACCCGTATAGAAATGACGAATCATTGGTACTCGACTCTTATCTTATCCGCCGTAACGCACTTCCGTTGCATTTCTACGGATTTACACCCTAGTCGCGCCTAAAGAAGTTTTACTTCAATTCTTTATGAAAATTCATAATCTAGAAATGAGGTAATTGTTTGGGTTGCCACCTATGAAAATCGACATCAAATCATCAACATCTTATAAAAATCTTAAATTCTGATAGCTGTAAATTATAAAAAAGATTAATCTATTTGCTGCTTACCTGTATGTGTCCGTTTATGAGCTTTCAGGTGCGAACTCTTGGTGTAGACCTTATCGCAACCTTCGACATCGCATTTGTGAGCCTTTCTTAGCTTTATTCCATTGTTAATATTATTATTGTTATTATTTACAAAATTAAGCAGATTTTGTTTTTCCAAATTCACTAATTTCAATTCTTTATCATTGACTTCTTCAAGATGTGGTTGATCCTTCAAACTGGTTTTGATTATTTTGCCAGCATTTTGTCCAAATTGAAGAACTTGTTCCGAGTTTTGTGAGTTGATCATGGATGCACTGTTGTCAGAATCTACAGAAAGTGTTCTCAAATTGGTGCTTTGTGCCATAATTTTATACGAGAATGTGGCTCGGCTGCAGATCGGATTCAAATTTTGAGACAACGATGCTAAATTTGGTTCGGTGGCTATTTGAGCGTAGTCCAATTTAGCCAACAATGAATTTTGCATTAAATTTTTGTGAGAATTACTAGCGTTTGTGTCAAGACCCTGTTTAAATTCATCTGTCAACTTCGAAAGTTGAGCAACTTGTTGTGACTTATCATAAGGCCGATAAGTCACAGAACTACAATCTACTGAATTAACATTAGACTTGGATGGTTCTTTATCACTTTCAACAACCATCTGTTTAATTTTTCGTACATTTAGTGAGAGATCAGTTAAAGTTTCAACGTTTATTTTAGAGTTTGAAAGTTTTTTATGCGAAAAACTAAGATCAGAAGCTTGGGGTAAATCGTTCGAATATTTGGAAAAATCTAAATCGCATTTGACATTTTTTGACGATGCAAATCCTGGATGCAGAAAAAGTTCAGGTACTTGTGAAAATACAACATTTCCTTTGCCATCTACATCGTTTCTGTACGGCCTGAACTTTATTGTATCATTTGGCAAGATAGGTTCACAAGGCTCCTTAAAAGTTTTTGCATACTTTTCTGTAAAAGGATGATTTGAGTAAACTCTCGTAAGTTCGTTCTTATCCTCATTTTGTGGCGGATTATCTAGTCGTGTTTTGTCTTTGTTTAAATATTGATTATCATCTACTATTTCCTTAAAATGTTGCTTGTCACTAATATTATCACAGATTCGTGACAGTTTCTGAGTTGATTTAGTGAAGTCAGACCTGATATTTTCAGGAAGTTCCTTCTGATTATCCACTGATTCAACTTTTATGTCGTTGTTATTTACCCGAAATTTCCGAAGTTCTTGTACTGATGATAATTGTTTATTGTTTTGTAAATCGAGTAATCGCTTATGCACAACTGCAATGGATTTAGTAGACAAGCAGAGCGCATCATTGCTGAAAAAAAACAAAAAAACTTAATTACACATGAACATTAACAAATAGAAAGATACAAGTAATAATAAGAGTAATGAATTAATAAGACGCTTGCAATATTGAAAGAGAAAATAAAACGCAATTATATCATTACGTGATTCAGTATCTTAGTTCCTTTAAGCGTTCATGTAAAGCAATTAAAGTTTTAAAGCATTTATTGCTTTACTTGATGCATTTGAATTTTTTGAATAATACCTGCGTTTGTGCTTAATTGGCGCAGCTAGTAAAGGTGGTGGAGATCGTAAATTAGTTCTGCGAACTGAAACAAATAATAAATAATAAATTATTGCTCAATAGTTATGGTTATATTCGTGTGTGTATTTGCATGTGCATATATCAATATATATGTATGTACAACATATATATGTATGTGCACATGTGTATGTATATGTAAAAATATTATGTACATTTGTAACAGCCATATATCATTTAGAACGCATCTGCATTTAATGCAGACATACTTTCTAAAATCATTTTAAGACACCTATCTAATGGATATACCGCCATAAACATAAACACTATGCTGACATATGCATACATAGGCATAAAACCATATAAATACATAATATATATATATATATATTTATATATATATATATAATGACAATTTTCTATATTAAATTATTTATCACATATTGGTTTACGTTAGCGGAATGAATTGCATCAAAAATTTTCATATCTGTTACACAATAGTACACGAAAAAATAATATAACTACAAGGTAATGATTTTCGTGTATTTTATTATAATAATTTTTGAAAATGTAGTGAAATCAAATAAAAAAGAATATGAAAGTTTCTAGATGAACATGTAGTATAGCGTAATAATATAACATAAGTATAAGAATCCGTATAAAATCGTGTGTGGAAGCAAGCGGGTAATAATTTTCTATGAAATATTAAAATCACTATTAAATATAAGAAATGTGATCATAAGTTTAAATAAATTGCTTGTTGAAACCACTACTTCAAACTTATTTCTATATTCAAAATATAAACAACAAAATTCTTTATTTCATTCATTAGCATAATATTTTTGATAATGTTTTTATATTGAAAAATGTTTAAATGTTAAAAGAACTTTAACTCTATCAATATGTGTAAATAATCAACTTAACCAATAAGAATTGAGCTTTTAGAAATTCTTATATTTTAGTTCAAAAATAAAGTTTGGGTTTTTCATTGATACGTTATATGTCCTAAGAGCGCAATTCATCATGATAACTTTAGTGTATTTTACAAATAAACCACTTATCGTAGGCCATTAGGAAAAATTTGTCAAAAAATTTAAGAAAACATAGACTAAAAAATGTCAATAATGGATAAAATGCACATATACACGTTTGAAATATTCTCAATATTTACATAAAATTAGCAGGGAAACATAAGCTTTTCTTTCGGGAACAAAATAATCATATAAATAATAATATAAATCTAAATAACTCAAACGGGCTTTAAAATAGTAATATAAATATAAATAGCAAATATAATATTTTTGAAAGAAATGTAAGTTGTTTGATTTTCAAAGTATATGTTACGGTAAACTATTAGTCAATTTATTTTTCAATATCTGTTTTCAAACAATGATAGATCTAAACTTAATTCATTATGAAAGTATGTAAATTAGTGAAGATGAGTGAAGTTTCATATTATGTGTAACACGCCTGAACGAACTGCAAATACATGGCATTTTGACATTGTTTAGTACCATTTTGTATGAGAAGTGCTACGTACAATAGCCTTGCCATAACATTGCTCTATTTTATGATATAATCGGCTTCTATTATGTTAACATGTTGTCACAACCCAACTTTTGAAATGGATTTTCGGTGTCCCAATTCAAAAATCTTATTTCCTAATATTTTAGTGAACCCTTCAATTATACTGAGTATTTATACGTGCAAATACAAATTACATAAAATACGTAAAAAACTGGAAAGTATAAAAACCTAAATGTGAACCAAGATGATTTCTATTTAATTTAGTTCACATTTACCCATTTCTACGATTTGAGCTAGCCCTTCGCTAAATCATATGTGATTAATTTTCAAGCAGCAATTTTAAATAAACATCACTTTTCTCAAAAATAATTTCTATGAGTCCATTCTCACTATTCATACGATAGCTTCTAATTATTCCAAACATCGATACAGGTATCAAATAACCTGCAGCGAAATATGATTTTCGCACAGTCTTCTGGATGGGTTTTTTGTTCCCGTGTGTGTGTACTGTGTAGAATAGATGCAGAGTGAGCGATAAATAAATAAATAGGAAAGATAGAGAGCGAATAGAGCGTGTGATAGGTCACGGCGTGACGCCATGACGGGACCATCTCGCTTGTAAATTTTAGACAGAGAGCTGATCAACAATTTGGATAGTAAGCATATATTTCATGTGGATAATTGCCTAAACATATACCATCACTAAAAAGTCCGTAGGACAACACATAGATGATGTAGCGACGTAATCATCCACATTTGCTGACGACATAGCAATTCTTTCGACACATGCTGATGCATCTAAGGCTTCGCTAATTTTACAAAGGCATCTAAATGTTATAGAGGATTGGACAAAAAATGGAGAATAAAAATAAATGAGAGCAAGTCTATTCATATAACATTTACACTGAACAAGACAACATGCCCAGGAGTACATTTTTATGGCCAAGCAATTCCAAGCACCGAATGCGTCAAATACTTAGGTATGCATTTAGATCGCAAGCTCACGTGGAAGGACCATATTCGCGCCAAATTAAATACTATAAAAATTAGAACCGCTGAACTATACTGGCTACTGGGACGCAAGTCAATTTTATCGATTGACAATAAACTTCTAATTTACAAGGCAATAATAAAACCCATATGGACTTATGGCATTGAATTGTGGAACTGTGCAAGCAAATCCAACATAGCGTTAATGCAACGTGCCCAATCGAAAATATTGAGGCAGATTACTGATGCTCCGTGGTTTGTTAGTAATAAAACTTTACACGACGATCTTCATATTGATTTTAAAAACAAAATAATACAAATCAACAGTATAAAACATTTTCAAAAACTACAACATCATTCAAACCATATAGTCACTCAGCTTCTTGAGACATCAACTTCAAGAAGACTGAAGAAGAAGCTGCCCGAAGATAATATGGAGGAATCTTAGAACTACCACAACCTTATATGAACAGAATAATTGAATCATTTATTGAAGTGATTCTCTAAATATGATTGTAATATTGGTCCGATAAATTTATAAGTGTGTTTGCAAGTGTGTGTGTATGTGTGTGAGTGAATGACATAAGCCAAATAGCTCATAGAATAGTCATGTATTCTGATTGCTATTGAAAATAAAAATTAAAAAAAAAAAAAAAACATCCACACGATTTGAAGGAAGCAACAACTTTAAAAAGATATATGTCAAAATTTTATGACAATTCGACGATTAGTTTACAAGTTACAGAGGTTCAAGTAATGCTACTTTTGAGTTTTTCGAAACCATGCATTCAAAGCAATTTCGTAGGTTGATTCATCATTGTTTTTTGATGAGTAAAAATACCATTGCTGTTAAAGTATGGCTTGATAAGTGTTACCTGGACTATTCCAAATCGAGATAGATGGTGAAAAATTGGTTTGCTGATTTTAATCGTCGCCATACAGAAAATGCTGAACGCTCTGGAAGGCCAATTGAGGTGGTTACACCGTAAAATATCAAAAAAGTCCACCGAAACGTTTTGGAAAACAGAAAACTAAAATTGCCTGAGACAGCTGACACCCTAAAGATATCAATTGAACGTGATAGACATATCGTTCACGATGATTTGAATAGAAAAAAGCTTTTTTATTTTAAATGGGTGCCGCGCATTCTCACATTTGACCAAAAGCATAACGAGTTGATAATTCGTAAAAGTAATTGGAGCTGTTTAATCGAAATTAAACTGAGTTTTTGCATCAATATGTTACCATGAATATGACTTGGCTTCAAGACTAGGCATCGGAGTCGAATAGACAGTTAGCAGAGTGGACTAAAGACGACGACGAGAAAAAATACAACCAATCAGCTGGCAAAGTTATGGCGTCAGTTTTTTGGGATACGAAAGAAATGGTCTTCATCAACTATCTTGAAAAGGCCAGACTATCAACAGAGACTATTGTATAACGTTATTAGAACATTTGAAGATCAAAATCGAAAATACGGTCCCATTTGAAAAAGGAAAACCGTGCTTCTTCATCAGGGCAATGCACCAATTCACAAATCCGTGAATACAGTGGCCAAAAAAATATGAATCAGGCTCCGAATTGCATCCCCACTTACCATTATCTCTAGATCTGTTTCCCAGCGACCATATCCTGTTCTCAGATCTCAAAAGAATGCTCGTTCTAAAGAAATATTTGCCAAATTATGAGATGATGGCCGAATTTTGTGGCTAAGTACAAATCGTACTACAAAAATGATTTCGAAAACTTCGAAGTTTGCTATAATTGGTATATCGTCTTCGAAGAAAACTATATTGAATAAAAAAAAAGAATTTTGCCAAAAAAATGGTTTTTCTTAGTTATCCTAAGGACTTATAGAGTGAAGTGATATGTGGCCATTAAGTAACCTTTGTAGTGGATAAAAAGCTCAATTTTCGTGAAATAATAATAAGGATAAGGATGAGAATAAACTGATTTGAAAAATTCAAAAAGCAATCGATTCCTATTGATACGGAGATGTGGTGATTAGTTTTAGGCAAAGTCAGGTCCAGCGGCTTCGGAGATATGGAGCAAACTGTGCTAAAAGTGTCAGTTCTTAAGAAAACGGATCAACCGATTTGAAAAAAACATTCGATTCGTAATTATGGGGAGAAGTGATGATTTTGTCATTTTTATTTAAAAAAAAAAATGTGTTTGAATATCAAAAACTAATTCAGATTTTAATTCTCATTTTAGCTAAAGTTCTTAACATCACTAATTGTACTTCAAATAATTATAATAATCGATTGGAAAACATTTAATATTCCTCGAATATTTAATTAGAGTAGGGGTAGTTCTAGCAATTTCCCCTAAGGCACGATGCCATACGCCACTAGTTTTTATCATATTTTTATTATTATCTTGTTGTTACTTCATGTTTTAACACAGTTTCAGTTCTGACATAAAAATACCATGTTGCAAAAAAAAATTGACCTAACTAAATAAGTAACTAGTGGGGTGAGTGGCATCGTGCCTTAAGGCAAATTGCTGGAACTTCCCGTACCGTAACGAAATGTTCGAGGAATACTGAATGTTTTCAAATAGATTATTATAAATATTATAACATTGTCTAATATTTATAAGAATTGTATAAACTGAATTGCAATGTTAAAATTATTTCTTTAACGTATATTAGAACTATAGTCAGAATTACAATTAAAATCTGAATTATTTCTATATACAATTGAAACAAATTTTTTTTTCCAAAATCAATTATTTTGTTAAGACAAGCAGAAAGTTCTTTGAATCATTCAAATCGGACTCATAGTTCTCTAAAAACTGCCATTTTTTACATATTTAGCTCCGTATCTTCGAAATGGCTGGGCCTGCCTTTGCCAAAAACTAATGAACACTTCTCCCAATCATTACTAATTGAATGTTTTTTAGATCATTCAAATCGGATACTCCGTTCTCTCAAAAAGTCGATTTTTATTTTCTGCACTCGTTGCTCCGTATCTCCGAAACGGCTGGACCTGCCTTCGCCAAAAACTAATCAGCTCTTTTCCCTATCAATAGGAATCGAATGTTTTTTAAACCATTCAAATCGGTTGATCCGTACGCCCAAAAACGTGGGCGAAAATTTGTATCCATACATACATACACACACACACACACACACATCCATTTTTTCTGAGGTATGCCAAAATGTTCAGAAACCTTCAACACGTCGAGAAATATAAAAATTTTCAATTCCGATTTTCGGCCCAATACAATAACTTACCCTACGGGAAGTTAATAAAATGTATTAGCTCAATATTGTAAACGATAAACTTGGATTTTATAGTAATCTTATTAACATATATTCTTGGTTTAGTAAAAATTGTAATCTGGTTATTTTCACACATACAATTCCATTTAGAAAAACAATGAAACTTATAGAAAAGTCTCAGAATTACACTCTTATACATCGCAATGCAATGTTCAGTACACTATTTTTTTTACTTTAAATTGATTATTACCAGTGGCTCTCGGTCTATCTAATCACGATTCATTTTCAACCGAAAAAATACTATAGAACCGTCGAGTCGCGACTATGTTAGATAAAAAAACCTTAACCGTACCCGTGTACCGGTTGTAAACGGATCGACAAAACCACGAGATGAGAAACCGCTAGTTAACAACACAAAAACATTCTAGGGCAAAATCTAATGTATCTTTTCGCAAAATGCATCGACAATGACTAAGCACCTACCATTTTTCACATATCTAACACGATTAGAAATCAAACCAGTGTGATTATATCTTGTATAGAATTTGAAAATCTCTTATAATTTCATAGTATCAGCTATAATAATTAAAGAACTAGTGGTGCATGGCGTCGTGCCTTAAGGCAAATTGCCTAAACCGAATATTAAAAGTTTAAAAAAAAAATTAACTTTAAAAAAAATCTCGGATTTTGTTTCGTTTTGAATTCAATCAAACCTTTTTTCAAAGCAATCGCGCTGAGTTGCGTAAAGACGATAAAAGATCGAAGCGCGAAAGCGCCGCGTCGGACACTATCGGATAAACAACGATATGGAATTCATAGAAATATAAACATGATTAGTTTCTATTATTAAAATCTCTATAAAATATCTGGTAATTTGTTGTGCATATGTCAAATGATCATTATATTTTACATTTCCGAAACCGCTAGATTTGCCTTTCCAAAAATTAAATCAGTTCTTCATTTTGTCAATATGTTTTTTGAATCAATCAAATCGGACTAGATGTATATATAAGCATGATCTGGCATTATGTCAGAAATATTCAACAGCAGAGTTGAAGTAAATATTTATTTTAATTCTTGTTTTTAACCTAATTTTCTTTTTTATTAACTATTTTTACCTTTGCCTATCCTATTTACCCTTCCCGTGTAAGCTTTTATAGAAGTTATATTAAAAAAAAACTGTTGAATCTAAGTTAATAATACGTTTTATAAAGTAATAAAATAACGTATACTTAAAAATTATATTAAGGGGTCTCGTAAACTAAACAACAGTGCTCCATCCAAAAATGTGAATATGAATTTACCATTCTATTACCATTTTTGAAAATTCATAGTTTAAAAAATAGCCTTTAAATCTGGAAAATTTGGAGCAATTGTGTCAAAATATTATTTTAAATTCCAAAGTTTGAGTGAACAAAAATATTAAAATTTAATCACAATAACCGAAAAATAGTCGCAATATGGCAAAAGCTCTAGGCTGTACTTAAAAGCTTCAGTGGTCGGGAAACCGGGTAAATTTCCCCAAATGGTGTAAAAAGTATGTATCTTTAATTGATAATTACTGTATTTACTATGTTGTATGGGGATGATCTCTCCTTGACATGGGGGTAATATCAACTTAGATAAAAATATTTTAGGGTAATAATTGAAAAAGTTTTCCGACCGCTGGTATAGATGATCATAGTTACAATAAATACTGTCACCCCGTTTCAGTTTGACTTTGAGTTCTGAGACACCCTGTTTAGAATTACTTAAAAAAAAATCTCTATGTATTAATATTGTTAATAAATTGCTTCAGTTCAACTACTTAATTTTCATACATATTCTTGTATTAAATTATATCAAACAGTAGTTCATTAATACAAATATCTACATATTCATAGCAACCATATACAGATTGAAAATTAAATCAATCAAATCAATTGACTGAATACATTAAAATTGTAACAACAAATTCTAACAATTTAATCATTTTATGAAAAAATACTATGAATTTAAAATAATTATTAAAACAGAGAAAACATAAAATGTAACTTGAATTGAATGAAATGTATAGGTATAAGATATGAATGATTAAAAACATTTGTTTCTTATTTCTTACTATCCTATAAGCATTACAATTATATATATATATATATATGTATATATATACATCTATATATATATATATATATATATATATATATATACATATATTTGATCCAGAGAGGTGTTTATATATTTAAATTAAACGAGATAGTTCTTAACACCGATAGTTAAAGTAATAAAATATGAATATGCATGAAATTAGTAGTTTGCAATCAGCATTGGCTTAAAAGCAATGTAAATGCACTATTAGCAAAATGAAAGTAAACTCATTAGTAACTAGCAATCAAATCATAATAAATAAAATACTAGTTTCAAAATAACAAATTACCTTTAACACTTAAGTCTACCGGTTCAACTTGAACGGGGGCTTCCTCTGCCTGCAAAAAAACAGAACGATGAAAAAATTATAGTAGAAATCGTTTATATTGAAAGTCATTATGCAACTTAAAAGTTTGATTGATTTATATGTACATACATCTATTTAAACATGAATTGATTATAAATTTTGTTTAAATGGAAGGCAATAAAAGAGAAAAATATACATGATAAAAAAATGGGTACAAAAGTTCAATTAAGAAATCATTGCAAACTTTTATACCTTTTAAACCAACCAAAAACCTTTTAAGGCTGGATGTGAAATTTTTATAATCTTATGATCTTTGGTTTTCATATTTTAGTCTTATTATATAAATAGCAAAAGAAAAAACGATAAATTAAATTAGTAAATGTAAAAATTAAGAAATGATTAATTTTTTTTTGAAAAAAAAAATTGATTCTAAAATTAAGTACTAAAAAACATCTGTTATACATATATGACGTTGCTACCAAGACGTTGAATTATTTTCGTGAAGATGAAAATAGTTGCATTCTTTTTTTATTATTTTAAGTAACATAATGTAAGATAGATCAGTGGATCCTATCTTATTTTAACACTCACATAGTACGCAGCTTAGCTTATAGAAAAATTGTAATTTTCTAATTGCTAAATAAATCTATTACAAAAATTCTTATTTTATAAACGTATTTTAATATGTTACAAATATTCATTAATCGAGAAAATTTATACAGAATTGAGGAAAATTACAGAAGTATTTATCTACTTTGAAAAAATTAAAAGTCAGACCTAAGAAATATAATTTGTAATATGAATGCAATCTTCAAGACTTGATTTTGTCAAGGGGGAGTAATATGTAGAGGATACATAACAAAATAATTTAATAATTTATAATTTGATATGTTATATATTTTTGGATATTTTAAAGTAATTATATTAATTTTGTATATTATTATTTTAAATATATTTCGAATTATAAAGTACACAGTTGAATACTGTTAAAGTTGAGCTAAAAATTACCTGCAAGAATACCTTACAAGGATTTGATTTTTGGGGAAAAAAAAAGGAAACTGAGCCCTATTTTTTATGTCCGAATTGGAAATTGGAGCACCCTTCATAAGATAAAAATTGAAAACGTGCAAAATATCATTACTTTAATTATAAACTATTAATATGCATAAATTAAACTAAATTCTATATTCAACGCATTATGTAGTCCTTCCTCAAGGTTCGTGAGGTGTAAACTAGTTTAATTTTTATTCATTTTAAATTTGTAAATCTTTCCTAGAACAAGATACTGGACTATAGTCATTTAAAAAACGGTAAAGGTAAACTACCTGAGAAGTTTTCTAATGATTCAAAATATTAGCCTGTAAAAAATTAATTTGAACCACTAAATGTGATGCAGAAAGTTCTGAAATTATATATCATTACAACCTTTAATATTTATTAGAAGGCAAAACATTTTAACTGATTGGTTTTTAAAGAAGAACCTTTCAATGTAGACCAATTTAGAAAAATTTAAATTCATAGAGGAAAAAAAAATCTTAATGAAAAATTTGATCAATCGTGTCATTATTTTTAACTGTGGCCTTAGAAATGTTATTTACAGTTCAGATCCAAAATTTAAATGAGCAAAATTAATAAATTTCAAACGCAATAACCGAAAAACGGTCGCAATTCCACCAAAGCTCTAGGCTTCTCTTAAAAGCTCATATTTTTCAAACTACTCAGAACATTTTTTTTCTAATTTTTTTCATGATAGTTACAATCAATACTTGCATTTGGCTTAGATATGGTTCTTAGTAATTATTTTTTTCATGATTAAAAATTTATAAGTAATTTTTTTATTAGCTAGTTAGTATTAAATATAAGTTTATGTATTTATATCTTAGGATAATTATACATGATTATATAAACTGTATAGAAATATGTAAGTATAAATTAATATAAATAAAATCTTTAAAACAGAAGAAGACTAACATTTGGCTAGACGTTCAGTTCTGGGACACCCTGTACAGTTACTTGTGAAAAAACGTCTAAAGCAAGTGAAATAGTCATCATGGTACCTAGAAATTATATCAGGCTACTGCAATTTATTTAACTGTGATATTAGAAATAAATTCTCTTGTAATCCTTTGAGCAATCATTTCTTTCACAAAATTCTTCAAAAAAAATTAATGCTTCTAATTTTTTAGTATATACTACCCTTATATATTTTTAAGCTAATAAGTCAGCAAATCAGTAAGATTAAGGATAACAAGCTGTATTTGTGTAGTTTTCTTCATCTACTGCAAATATATATGAAAGCCGCACTTCATACAGGGTGTCCCAGAACTAAACCTCAAGACAAAATGGGGTGATAGTGTTAATCGTAACTATCACGATAAAACATTTCTTCCATGTATTTTGGAAATCGAGAGCTTTTAAGTGCAACCTACAACATTGGTAAAACCGTAACCATTTTCAGCTATTTTTGTGGTTCATTTTTATTAATTTTGTTCATTCAAACTTTGGATCTGTAACTGTAAATAACATTTCTATCAATTTAAAGCAATTGTCAGTATTAAAAATAATGGCAATTGCTTCAAGTTTTCAACAATTAGAAACTTTTTGTTAAACTATGAATTTAAAATGATCAATAAAAAGCTCTCCATTAAAAAAAAGTACTTACTTAAGTGTGTTAGCAAGTTTCAACAAAAATTGGAACATTTATAATCAGAATTGTAAAAAAATTCTTGTTATTTTCTAAATAAAAAAATCGAATGCTACAGAGCTAAACTTTGAACTAATTTGTTTTTAAAAGAAGGCCTTTCAAAGAAGAGTGATTTTGAAAATTTTAAATTCGTAGTTGAACAAAAAATCATAATTTCTGGAAACTAAGAGCAATTGTGTTCTAGAAACGATACACATCCAAAACAAAATTGAGAATCATCAAACGCAATATTCGAAAAATGGTCACAGTTCCACCAAAGCTCTAACTGCAGTTAAAAGCTCATATTTCTCAAACTGCCCGAATTATGTTTACATGATAGTTACGATCAATACCTACTAACACCCGGTTTCGGCTAGACGTTGAGTTCTGGGACACCCTATACGAAAATGTATCCAATATCCTGCGACCAGAAAGCGAATATTTAAATTTAAACATATATATGTCACAAACAGTTACTGAATGAAATGGTCGACAGTAATCCAACTGGACTGAATATTTCACATCAAACGACAGGAGTAAAATGTTCTAAATGAGCGCAAATTCAAAACACTCAATAAACTTGAAACTTAACAGACATGTTATGCATTTTATTATATCGGTATTCTCTATTTTAAAGTAAAAAACTTTCTATTCTCAACGCCTATAAATAGTTTTAGCTGTAATTAAACTGTGTTTTCAATGTAAGAAATACATATTTCAACCTCAAACCAAAAAAGGAGCGCACAGGAAACCGCTCCTATAAAAAAATCATCAATGCAATCTTTCAACTTTATAAAGATAATAAAATTTTGCAACAGATTTAAAAATTGTAGAATAAAATAATAAAATATCTATTGGTGCGTATCTGTTACCTCTTTAGCAGGCAGGGGATCCAATACCAGGCCATCCTGAAACAACAGAAAAATAATATTAAAAACTGATATATTTTATGATAATAAAATAAATAGCAATGATCATGTTTTTCGATAAATTAGAAACTTGCATTTTACAGAAACATTATTATTTAGTTAACTTTTGATATTATGACAATACCCACATGACAAAGTTCCTACATGGTTCTAATATGATTTAAAATACGATCACATTTATTTTATATTAAAGTCAAATCTTAATAAAAAAAAAATGTTCATAAAATAAATTCGAATATGGAGACATTACAGTTAAAATAAATATTAGTTAAAATTTGTTAATAGCATCTAATTCTCCACAAAAACATCTAAATACACAGATTTAAACAATTTTGATATCGTGGAAATACTTTATAAATTTCTTTGTGGTTTGTGTGTTTTAAATTATGATAGTACTTTTAGTTAACTTAAAATCTTGGTTTCATGATGTAAGATGAATTTTACATTTTATTTACAAAAAATAACCCGATATACATATATATGCAATAATATTTTAGATGATAAAAGGTATGAAGAGTACCCCAGAATTTAACGTCCTGGAAAAAAATTAGTAAAAAAAATCGGGCGCTCCGTTCTCTCAAAAACTGAATACCATTTTTGGCACTTTTTGCCCCGTATCTTCGAAACGGCTGGACCTGTTTCCGCCAAAAACTAATCAGAATATATTCCCATCAATAGGAATCGAATGTTTTTTGAATCATTCAAATCGGTTGACCCGTGCGTCCGAAATCGTAGACGAAAAATTGTATCCAAACATACGTACATACACAGTACAAAGACACACACATCCATTTTTTCTAAGGTACGCCAAAATTTTCAGAAACCTTTGAAACGTAAAGATAATTTCTATGACACCCTACGGGAAATTAAAAATTATCTCACGTGGTTTGGAAATTATGAGCTTTTAAGTGCAAACTAGAGCATAGGTGAAATTATAGCCATTTTTCAGTTATTGTAGTTAACTTTTATTAATACTGTTCATTTAAACTATAAAACCATAACCATGACTAACATTTCTAGAACCATAATAAAAAATAAGAGAATTGAACCAAGTTTTCTAAAATTAAGACATTTTGTTGAATTTATTTGTTTTAAATCGACCGACTTTTAGTCGAATCGAAACTTTTAGAAGCCATACTTTAACAAAAATGTATTAAAGTATGTTGGCAAGTTTCATCAAAAGTTAGCGCATTTAAACAGGATTTTAAAGTTACGGTTCGAAAGTTTAATTGAACAAAATTAATCAAACTTAACCATAATAATCGGAAAATAGTCATAATTTTACCAAGGCAGTAAGTCATAAATAAAACCTTATAATTTCCAAACAACTTGATAATTTTTCTTTCTAAATTTCAAGACAATATCAAAAATCAATTAGGGACAATAGTAATAATATTCTACTCCGTTTCGGCTTGACGTTAAGTTCTGGGACACCCTGTATAATAGTACACAAACAAATGCATGTAAGCATCTATTGAATTATTAAGATGTTGTGGACTTTGTATTTTTTTGAATGGGTGGTAAGTTTTATATATTATTGTATTTCTGTTTATTTTTTAAATTATCCATTAATTTTTGGCTACTTTTGTACTTGCATATTTATAATTTTTTGAACATTAATTTGTCGAGAGTGTTTCATATATTTTTGTTAATTATTTTACATATTTTTAAATATTTGTTATATCATTTTAGCAGTTGTATTCACTCAAAAATTCTCAAAATGGAACTAGAAACGTTTGGATAACTCTTTAAAAAAAATTAAACATAACTTAGTTTTTTTCTTTTTAATAGTATAGAGTTTAGAGTTTTAGTTAGTAATTAAATGAAAATCTGTATGAAAAACAGTTTTATTTACTGTATTATATTATGTATGTACACCTGCGTTTGCGTTCATGTTCAGTTCTTGTACTTTGCCCACCTACATGCATAATTTATAAATTCTATAAATTCATGTATATTCAGTGGTTTCAAATTATAAATAGTTTAGTTTTAACTACTACTGGCAAAACAGTAGTATGATAATTGGTTCCTGTTCTTATTTTTATTTCACTAACTGAGGATGTCAATGATCTTAACTGCTTTAGATTTTAATTGATAGGTAATATGCCCAAAATTAACCACAATATACGAGGTGTGTTCAAAAAGTACCCGGAATTACTAATAATTAAATTTCGCGGGTCTGGAGTGTCTGATTGTCAAAATTTTTTTTTATTGTGTTGGTATACATGCCCCTAAAGTATGATGAAATTTTCAGCTATATTCACTGTTTACTTTGTCTGTGGTAGTCGCTAAGGTTAGACGTGTTTTTCTGAGCTCGGCGATTTTTACAATGGAAGAATTGAAAAGTCAAAGAATTTGTATTAAATTTTGCGTAAAAAATGAAATAAAGTGTTGCAAAGTGCAAAAATTCACCAGATATGGCTCCGTGTGACTTTTTCCTATTCCCAAAGTTGAAGAGACCCATGAAAGGACGGCGGTTTTCCTCGATTGAAGAAAATCGCTGAGAGTGCTCAAGGACATATCAAAAAGTGAATATCAAGGGTGCTTCGAAAATTGGAAAAAACGCTGGCATAAGTGTATTATATCTGGGGGGACTACTTTGAAGGGGACCACATTAATGTAGACGAATAAATAAATATTTTTTTTGAAAAACGAAAATTCCGGGTACTTTTTGAACAGACCTCGTATATATATATATATATATATATATATATATATATATATATTTTTACTAATATTGTTTGATACTGATTTCCTATTATTTTTAATACTGAATGTATGCCTCTATATAAAAAACTTTTTCTCGTTATTATATATGGTGGTGTAAGATATCTGCCATACATCAAAGAACTATTTGTTCCTTGGAAAAAACTTCTTTATAAATCTGGACTTCGACTTGTGAACACGACCAGCGCTATTTTTACCAAACCAAAACCCCTTTTAACATCGAACGACTTAGAAATCTGGAGGAGAAACGAGCCAGAACTTGATTAAACCCAGACAATTTAAACTATGCTTGCCGACCACGTAAAAACTTAACACACTATAGACTTTTTTAACCCGAATGTACTACAATTCGAGGAAAATTTGTTTAAATGAAGAATAATAGAAGGATCATTTTTGATCATTTATAACAATAGAACAATGAATAAACGCAATGAACTCAACACGCTCGAACTGAGCGACTCCAATCTCTTTTATTTAGATAGTATTTCCCAATTTCTTACAAAACAATAAAAATGTGCAAAGGGTTTGCAATCAGTTCCACATATGTGCAGAACTTGATAAAAATATTTAAATAAAAATATCTTTTCTCCATTTTGTCTTGAACCAGGTTACAGACAACATATTTATTTCATATTTATTTGGGATTTTTTAAGTTAGTATTTTGTGAAATATTATTTAATTAAAGGTTTAATGTTTATGTTACATAGTACATATGAATTTTCTGTTTTAACACTAACAATAAATTTTTATAAGTACTTTTTACTTTTTATAATTTTTTTCAATTCAATTGTTTCAGTTTTCAAAATTTATTTTTAGTTTTCCACTGTATTAAGGCTAGGATTATAGTCAAAACGTATGGATGTAAAATAAATTTTTGAAAATAATTTGTTTTTTATTGATGTTATGTTCGATTATTAAAATTTGTAAATATATATATATATATATTTTATGAATTGTGTCAATTCTAAACTGAAAGAAAGTTCAACTAATCAAGTTATGACTACCTTCTTGATTTATTATAAATGTAATCACTTCATAAAATATATCTCATTTTCTGTAAAAAATTACTTATAAAAACTTGTTGACATAAGTGATTCACTGAAGTATTTTATAGAGCAAATATAAATTAGAAAATCAGCATTTATGTTCCATCTACATAATATTAATGTAATATTTCGTTCCATCTACATAAACAGATAATTAAAACATCATTTATTGCCGAACGATAAACGTCGTTAGCAGGATGTTTTACAACTCATAACTCAATCATGTTTGAATAATAAATTTCGAAAATAATAAAAAAAATTATAGTAATACTTGTGTATTACATCAGATGGAACATCAGCATTTTGAACAAGTTTTATAAGTTCGAATCGATATTAATATTATTTTAGAGAGGCAATTGGTGTTATGTACCCAGTAGTATATACAACAAATAATACCGGCGATAGTAGTGTTTTTACATAGATTTAGAAATGCGTTTTATTAATTGACTTCTTACGAGTAACAAACCAGTACTACGGTTACATATAAAAGTTCTCACATGTGCGAACAAACTGAACGGTATTTATACAGGACCAAATTGGAAGATAAAATAAAATTAGATATCTGAACTTCATATTATATCAATCTTAACCATTTCCACTCGCAAATTGCGAGATTTGTATGTATTTTGTCCCCGGAGCGGCGGCATCCGGGTAGAAAGGGTTAAAATCCGGATCTTGGTTTTTGCACTGATCGATGGGTTGTTTTAAAACTTCACAGTAAAGAAATAAACGCTTGCAAATGAAGACATAGATTTTTCATTTAATATAACTTTCCCATAGGGTAAGTTATAATAATCGCAAAAAATCATAAATGAAATTTTTTGGATATCTTTACGTTTCAGAGGTTTATGAACATTTGGCATACCTTAGAAAAATGCTGGAACTTGCCGTACCAGAAATGAATATTCGTAAAAAAAATCAATCAATAAACACTGATCAATGATTATTAACAATTGTTTTATATGTTTTCAAAGAGATAATTATAATTACTAAATATTTATTCGTTCATTAATATACAGTGACGATCTTATAGCTCAAGACACTTAAAATGTTTACATTAAGAAGAGATGCCAAATGAATCCAACTGAGAATATATTCCTTACGATTACAATAACGCATATGAATGATACATTTTTAAACTGAATTGTACATTTAAAATTTATATTTAAAACTTTGTATATTTTTGAAAATTTTGAAAAAAAAATT